TCTCTCTCTCTCTCTCTCTCTCTCTCTCTCTCTCTCTCTCTCTCTCTCTCTCTCTCTCTCTCTCTCTCTCTCTCTCTCCTCTTCTCTTTCCTTCTCTTCTCTTTCCTTTTCTTCTCTTTCATTCCCTTTTCTTTCCTTCTCTTCCCCTTATTCTCCAAAAAAAGTAAAACCAAAAAATATCAACTTACATCGTCCCACCCAAAGCAATCATTTGCGCATGTCGACTCTTCAGACCTCTCTGCGTCGATTCAAATCGGTCATCGTTGATTTCGGTTACAAGAACTTCTCCATTGACGACAGCGGAGCTGCGACGTCGCTGCTTCGTTCCATCATGACTCTTTGTCGGACCGAGATCGGGTGAAGGTGTACTGTATGCTTCAGGGCCTTTTTCGACGTCGGATGCTGGTGCCATGGTTGTGTTGTGCTGTGCTGTGCTGTGCTTCGGAAAACCAAAGAAAGCTGAAGCAGTTCACACACACGCAACAATCACGATAGTGAGAGAGGGAGGGGGAGAGGGAGAGAGAGAGGCAAAGAGGAGAGAAAAAGAAGACCACCGCCTACAATTCCACGCCAAAGGAATCTCCGAGCCGGACAGTATATACCCATCCATCCATCCACATATAGATAAATATTCACCCTCACCCTCAACAGCAACAAACAAGGAATGATGGCGCGCAACTGAGACCGACTGCCGCACCGCAAAGCCAAGAGCCTTAGAAGCCGACACCCTTCCACGCGCTCGCCCATGCTGCATTTTCCGACTCTTGAGCTCAGCTTTCCATGTATATTGCTGCTGCTGGTTGGAGAGTTCCCCTCTAGCCTTATCGTAGCCAAGAGCCTAAAGAGTCGTTAGTTGCGGCTGTAGCTGACGTGACCCCCCCAACGGTGATGACAACCGAAGGGGCCTGCCTGGTCCTCGCAAGGCTGTATGGATTGTTCTAGCGTAATGTGATGCGATACGATACGGGTGTAGTGTATTGATTGCATTGCATTGCATTGCGCTGCACCCCCCCCGCCGCTTCCCCCAGCGAGCGAGCGAGCAAGTTGATGTCCCGATGCGGAGCGATTTATTCTATTGTTTGTTATGGCAAAAAGGATGTGTTGGTTTGTCGAGAATCTCCTCTCCCTTCTTGTAACAAGTCAAGTGAAGTGAAGTAAAGTGAAGTGAAGTGAAGTGCAGTGGATAGACGGAGAAACCGTTTATCGGAGATGGCGACTCCAGTCTTGGCGTGGAACTCCCCCCACTTATGAGTCGTTGAAAGTTGAAACACCTCAGGAATGCTTCAAAAGAGAAGCGTAGAACTGCCTAGTTGGGATCAACATTCCCCGAGAATAAGTCCTGACTCTTGGAGATATCTGCCCATCATATCTGCCCATCCGAGCGAGCGCCACGCGATAAGAAAAAAATGTCCCGAAGATGTTCCAGGTACATACCTACCAGGCTCCGTGCATGTGGAGGGTGGGTGGATCACTGGACTGTGCTGAGCTGCTGTAATTGTGTTAGAACCATACACTATACTAGCCCAATTGAGATGGAGATGAAGCCGTACTAACCGAAAAGTAGGTTTAATTAATGTCAGAGGTCTAACCTCTCTACGAAAGAAAAGAGGGGGGTAGGTATCCCTAACTCTATATACAAATGCTAAGGAATTAGTAGCCCCTATTATCTATATAACTTATATTATATAATACTAGGGCACCTATATCCTTCTGTCCAAATATACCTCCCTTAGCTTAATTATATAAGATAAGCTGAAAAGCTAGATATAGTAACTGTCTATACTAATCTAATAATCGACTATACCTACTTACCTAAGCCCTAGGCTCGTCCGGAATAACTGGAATAACCCCTTTAGAAGGTTCTTTATAAAGCTATTAGCTCGCTGTTTTGCCGTTCCAATCTATTTAACGGTTAACCTTCCTACTATAGTTTCCTATCTTACCTAGTATTAATAGATATCAATATACCTTAAAGCCGTATTAAGTAAACTATACTTATAATTAGCAATGTCTACTATACGTTAGTTGTTATAGAAAACCTTAGTTCTACCTATAGTTCTATCCTTAATAGGTTCCTTAGATAGCTTATTTCTAGGTAGAGGTAGAAATACCTTGTCAAATTTAGAGAAAAGTCGAGTCTACTAGTACCTATTACTAGCAATTGATAAGAGTGCTAACAACTCTACCTCTACGGTCGATTTAGTAACTGTCTTCTACTTAGTTGCTTGCTAATTAATAGCACTATTATATATTATTATTAGAAAACCCTAAGAACTCTTCCTATCTAGGTTGTTACTAAATAAGGTATCTATATAAAGCTCTATCTTAGGCTTTTCTCTATAGAAGTACAACTTTATATCTCTAGTACTATATAAGTAGGCAATTAGGTAGTTAGCAGCTTCTATATAAGCTTAACTCGGATTCTTTAGGAATTAAGAAAGGGTAGTATATACCTTTGCTATATCTAGCCTTGCTAAAACAGCTATATAACTAATTAAACCTACCTTTATCTAATATCCTTTAATAAAGTTAGGTCTAGTAGTATTAGTAGTAGGTTCTAGGTTTCTAGTAGGAAGTAGTATATCTAGAAATCGAGCCCTCTTATAAATACTAAATTTAATACTAATTTTCGTTAAGTAGGCAGTCTAGCTCAGAGTTAGGATACTAGGTAATTCCTCTACTTCTATACCTAGGAAGAAGGTAGGGTCCTTCTAAGTAACCTTAAAGTTAGAAAGTAGGTACTAGTTAAATAGGATAGCTTAATCCTCCCTATCCCTTTTATAAATTAACCTGATATTATCTATATAGAATATTATAAGTAGGCGGAGATCTATATTTACTATTAGGCAGTCAATTCTAGGAACTAACTTAAACCTATAGTCTTCTATTCTTATAACAAACAGGTTATACTACAAGCGAGGTAATTTAGCTAATCTATAGAGAGCCTTCTTAAGGATAAAGCAGGTATCTAGACTAAATCTATATTCCTCTATTCTCTCTAGGATAGAACAATAGATAGTATAAGGGATAGTAGTATTTAGGAAGGTATTTACTATATCCTATTGCCTTATCTTTAAATTCCTTATAAAGGCTAGAGTAGTAATAGCCCTAAATACCTTATAACTAAGTATAGTAGTATAGGTTTTATAGGTTAATAGCAATTAAAGATCCCTACGGATACAAAGCCTAGCCTTATACCTAAGAATCTTACTACTAGTTAGGTCTGTCTTATAGGCAAATACCTATACTAAAGGTACCTTATAGCCCTTATAACCAAAGAATACCCTAAATGTCCTCTTACCTATAAGCTTTCTAGCTTTATCAAATACTGCTTGCCTAAATTGTTAATAATAGATATATCTTTCTATCTCTTTCTAGTTAGTAGGGGGTAACAGTACACTTATTACTTAGTAAGGATCCTTAAGAGTAGGTAGATTGTAAGCCTAGAGGGAAGTAGCAGCTATATAACTCAACTTATCTAGGTAATCTTCTAACCGTCTAGTTCTATAGTCGATCTATCGTCTATAGTTATCTATACTGTACTAATAGGTACTCTCTTCTACCTCCCTATCTAAGGCAGGGTGCTAGTTTTAATAAGAGGCCGAAAAAGCGGAGGGTAATAAAGAAGCGGGTATACCTAGTAAGGCCCCCGGGGCCTAACTATTATCTCTAGTAGGTGTTTCTAGCGGCGTTAGGTATAATGACTCCTGTTCCTATTATAGCCCTTTACCTCTCTACTATTTACTACCTCTCTAAGGTTAGATAGCAAAAGTTGGAATATTAGTAGCTAGAAAGGGGTTATCTATACCCTTAGTTGTTGATTCCTTAGGTAATAAGATTGAATTAATTACAGTCTAGTAAATAGTAGTAGGAACTAATTCTCTAAGTGTCTAACTATTGATATCTAGTAGATTATACCTCTTATTATCCTTAAAGGCTATATCTCTTGTCCTAATTACCTTATTTAGGGATAGAATCCAGATCTAGAAAATATTAGTAGAGGCATACCTAATTAGGTAACTAATATAAGCTCTCTCTTCTATCTTGTCTCTCTTAGTAATGTCTCTACGGAGAGCGAAGGCCTTGTATCTAATAGGGTAGAGATAGCTAAGGAAGGGCTTCTTAGTTGTTACCTTCTTATATAGAGTTATCTAATTGAGTTTAGTAGTAGGGGTTCTATTAAGTAGGTAGACAGCTAAATCTATAAGCTATAGCTAAAGGTTCTTAGGCAAATAGCTATTAATCCTAAAAGTCCTAGATTTAGTAACAATCTCTCTTCTAGTAACCTTACTTGCTCTATTCTGAATAGGGGTATTAGTAGTAGTAGGCAAAGGGGTAATACCTAACCTAGAGATAACTTTTCTAGTATCCTTCCTAATAGTTGCCTCTATATTAGAGCGGACTAGGATAGTTTAAGCACTAAATAACACTTCTATTCTTTTGAAGTGTCCTCTAAACTTAGTAACAGCTTATAGCTTAGTTACTATAGGCTTACTAATATAATAGCCCTCCTAGTTATAGTACTAGTAGCTATAATACTTGAAGACTAATCTATTTAGTCTAGGGAGAGAAGGGGTTATATCAATAAGATCCTATAAATAGACAGCTATCTTAGTAGTCTCTGCCTTAGGCAGCACTTCCCTATACTTATCTTTCCTCCTTAAAATTACTACTTTTGCCTTAGCTAGTATATAGGTGTTATAATTAATACTGTTTAGAGTCTCTTTCTCTAACTTAATTACCTAGTAACCCTTAGATACAGGTTCTAAGTGCTTAATAGCCCTTATAGATAGATAGCCTAGTAACTAATACTACTAATTAGCCGTTGCTGTTAATAGTAGGAGTAGTTAGTAACTAGATTGTGCAGTAGCCGCAAATCTAGTAGGTAAACCGTAACGTTAAGGTAGGTAAGGTTGACTTCCCCGTATTCTTAGAGTATAGGGTATATATAGACTTTACCTCCTTAATTCTAGTACTGATTCTAGGTAAACTAGTAGTTCTAGTAACACTTCTTAGTATAGGCAACCGTTTAATAATCTAGTAACTATATCTGTTACTATATTTAGGGGTAAGGTATACCTAGAGCCTAGGTTCCTTATATAATCGGCTAGTAATCAACTTGTCTAGCTAGTTTCTAGTATTATAGTAAATACCCTTTTTGTTAAGGATCTATAGTAAGACTAAACTTGTAAAGAATCCCGGAATAAGCCTTACCTTAAGAAGAGTAAGCTTCCTAGTAACTCTATTACCTATGTCTAGGTTGATAGTAGTATTAACAATTGCCTTAGGTTTATACCTCTTGTCTCTAGAAATTACTGTATTAGAGGAGGTTGATACCTTAGACCTAATAATCCTTGCCCTTATAGATTCGTTAATAATATAAACATTAGCACCGCTATCTAGAATTACTACGTAGTAGAGCCGGGTATAACTAATTGATCTAATAGATGCCTCCGGGGTCGATTCTAGGATAGAACTTGATTCTAGGGTAGTAGTAGTAGTAGTGTCCTCGACCTCTACGGCTATACTAGACTTGTTCTTAGTGTCTT